AAAAAAAAAAAAAACACAACTACTTCATTGTCTTCAAGGAATTTTGTTAGTTTTTCAAGTCTTAATTATACCATAAATATGTCACATTAATATTTTATTAGAAATTGTCCAATAGGACAAATCTAATGACGAACAAAGAGTAAAATATAAACGTGAGTACTCCATCCATGTTGAATCATTGAAAATCTTGTTGGGAAAACCAAATGGGGGAAAAAGTCCTGCTAGGGGTAAAAGATCACGACGTGTATTTCATATACCTCATAAATCATAAAAATCTTTTCAAAATTTATGTCCATTGTTCTGAGAACCGGATCGGACCGAACTAGACCGTCCAATTCGACCGGTTCAACTAGGAACCTGCCAGCTTACCGGTCTGGTTTGAGTTGTTGAACTGTTAGGGCCCAGAACCATCCATAAACCGTCTAAACCGATTAAAAACCAGTGAAACCAAGAAACCGGTGTCGGTTTGGGCGGCCCAGTGGGTTCAGTTACAGGTCTGGAAGGTTGTGATTGCTAAACCAAAAGTTACCATTTAAACTAGTGCAGATCTCGTGCGATGCACGAGTACACATTTTTAAGGTTATTTATCCAATCTTATTATTTTATTTGTGAATATAGAAAATTAAATAAATAGAATAAATAATACTATTGTATATTATAAAAACCTCCTTACAAATAATATTTTTGCCTTTTAGACACACCATCCTCCACGCAAACTAATATATCTAAGCTCTTTCGCTTAGTGACATGGTAAACAGCTGTATAGGTCGGACTGAACACCAACTTTTCAAGAACATGTCAACATGTGACAAAAAGTGACTCTAACTCGTGTTAATCGTCATGGTATACGAAACCATTCGGGGAAACTACTTCCGTAGAAATTTTAAAGGTACTCCAAAGTGAAAGGTGTTAGTCATCCGAGTTATCAAGACTTTCTCTTCTGCATTTAGATCCAGTCAACACTTTACATTCAAGCACATGAGTGGAGAGCTTTGTGACAACCAATATCGTACCTTACATTCAAGCACATGAGTACTACTAAAGTTATTATAATAAACTTCAAATATTAATATTAATATCAGTATTAATATTATTATCTATATAAGAACACGAATTGGCAAAGTAGAATTCTTTTATATATTGCAAAGTAATATGTCAACACACGTTTTTTTTTTTTTTTTAAAATTAGTATGTATCACATATTTGGCAAAATAAATCTTTTTAGATAGCTTGGTTATTTTGAATATTTCGAGATACATATAAAATATAAATTCAAAGATTATTATATTATACATTTGTATTAGTTAGGTATCTATATATAAATAAATATCCATTCTAGTCGATAAAATTTTTATTTAAAGTTCATTTCCATTTGGTTCGAGCTCTGGGAATGCAGCAGTGTTAAAACTCTTGAGAGAGAGCTTTGCCGCCCTTGTGGTCCTACCCGGCTCGATTCCGAATAAGTCGGTTCCCATGTGGATCCAGAAATGAAGGTCCCTGTACCAAAAAAAAAGTTCATTTCCATTTAAGAACATTCATACAAATTGTATGATTACATTCTACGCATTTTTAAAGTAAAAAATTGAAGTAATCTTCAAAATTGATTATATAAGTATAGATATCGAATACTGGTATCACTTTACACGCAATTAAATATATTTTATATATTTTTTTTTGTTATTGATTTATTAATTACGTTTTTATTTATGGTCAATTGCATTTTTATTGTGAAAAACTCATAATAAATAAACAATTTAGAAAAAAATTAAAAGATATATTTCATTAATAATAATAATAATAATAATAATAATAATAATAATAATAATAATAATAATAATAAATGTACACAGAGGTGTACATAACACTCACATGGAGTGGGGTCTGTTATCATCTGATTCGGTAAATCAAGGTTATTAGCCTCGAACTGCGTTATTACCGATAATGACGTGGCCAACAGTCATCTCGGTCCACATATCGAACCGACCAAAGCTATAGAAAATCGAGCTGATCCTCACAACCGAGGTCTTTCCAGAACCGAAGTCGATATGAACCGAGGTCATCACCTCCAAAGCTGATGACAAGGCACCTACGCGCCTCCTTCGCAAATCACGAGACCAAGTGGGACCCACTGATGCTGCCGCCCACCAAAAAGTAGCTTTATGAAAAAAGCATTGCACAAATCCCGATATGTATCTCAAAAAGTTACTATAAATAGCAAACTCATGATATTTGTACGGGATTCATTTCCCAAACCGAACTTTTTTATGATGAAACACGAAACAGCTCACAGAAGCTTTTCACCTCGGTTCACCTCGGACCGTGGCCATTGTTGAGTATTTCATACATACTTTACGTTCAAATCACTAATAATTATCAAGTAAATCTATCATCAGATCGTTGTTACCAATCGCATAACAACAGTTTGGCGCTAGAAGGAGGGCCTCATAAGTTATTTGAGGTTAATCTCTGGTTCTTGTGTTTGTTGCCCACATCAATCACTGCAACCATGTCTCATTCAGATCATCGTGGTGGTCATACATCGCGAGATGGCCACAGTCGTAGTGCCGCTCAATCCGCCAGACGCCAGGCAGCAGCCCCCAATATACCAGATTATACTGTTCTGTTCCAAAATCCAGAGTTTGCACGTGGGTTCGCCGCTCTGATGGCTCAAACAATCCCTGGAACATCAACGACTGCACCAGGACATTCCATAATACCCACGACTCCCGCTAATCCGCAGATTCCACCGGCGCGATGTTGTAAATATTTTTACCGGAGTAGAATCCAAAGATTCAACACCGGGTCGTATCACGAGGAAGGTTAGCTGGATTATTTTATACGAATATTCAATCACACGAAATAATGAAGAAGTCCTAAACACTCTAATTCGATTGGTTTGGTTTAATATTATCAACTACGAATTGAAAAACAAGTAATTAAAAAAACTAGACAGAACTAGGAATCACAAGTTCAAACTCAAATAATTATAAAGGAGCTAGGGTATCGGGGTCAATCAATTCCGGTTCTCAATACACTTAACGAGCAATCAAAAGCTCGGTTAAATGCCTCACAAAACTACTCATCTAGAGATCTATCCTCAATAACTCTTCGTAACAAGAGGATAGTCATAAACGAGTAATTCTTGAAACAATCAACACATAAGCAATACTATTGTTATCATCCAACTCGGCAAAACATCATTAAGGAGTTTTTAGCATCATTGTTAAGTGACATTAACTATTGAACCGACGTGATCCAAAGCCACGCTGGCCCACGCAATGAACCGGTCCGAACTACCAAAGACCGAAGTGACCGATACCTACTGAGGTCTACTTAAACCGAGGTCGTCACCTCCTAAAGCAGGTGACAAGGCGCCTACTCACCCCTATCACAATCCACGAGATTTGTCATCATTCACGTGGGACCCACTGATCCTGCCGCCCATCGAAAAGTAGCTTTATGAAAAAGCTAATGCACAAATCCCGAGATGTACGTAAAAAGTTGCTATAAATAGACTGCCTACAACACTTGTACGGGGGATCCCCGAACTCATTTATATGCAACACGTAAAAGCCCATAACGGCTCTTCACCTCGGTTCACCTCGGACCGGGGCCATTGTTGAGTTCTTTTTTACATGCTTTACGTCCAAACCGTTCGTAATTATCAACTTAATCACTTGTTACATCGTTGTTAGAAATCATATAACAACAGTTTGGCGCTAGAAGGAGGGCCTCATAAGTGATTTGAGGTTAATCTCCGCGTGTCTCAAATAACGATTCCGATTAGCCATACCCATAATGTCCCATTCAGAGCATCGTGGTAATACTTCACGAGATGGCCACAGTCGCAACGCTGCCCACTCCACCAGACGACAGGCCATAGCTCCCCCTGTACCAGATTATACTGTTCTGTTTCAAAATCCAGAATTTGCACGAGGTTTCGCCGCTCTAATGGCTCAAACGATCCCCGGCGCGTCGACGGCTGCCCCGGGACACTCCATAATACCGACGACTCCTGCAAATCCGCAGAATCCACCTGTGCGGCGAGACGGCGAAAGAACTACATCTCACGCAACCTCTCAACCTCGTGATAGAGCATCGCAACCACCTCCAGAACAAACTACACGTCGTACCGACGTTGGGCGCAATCCTCCTATACTTCCTCAAGAAGAAACCGCCGAAAGCCAGTCGGGTCATTCACGACGGTCACCGCCTCAGGCACAGCGCCGAAACCCCTCCAACCCGGCGCAGACCGACCTTCGACAGCGTATAGAACGAAATCAGGCTCGTCAAGAGTCATCCGAACTTGAAACATTGCGACGAAGAATCGCCGAATTGGAAAGTCGGCAACGGGCACCTGAAGATCCCCCTCGGCGGGCCTCCACCTCGGCGCAAGTGTATTTGGAAGCCGATTCTCCCCTCACTCCGGAGCTCA